CCCCCGGCTGCTCCGGCACCCGCCGTGATGTCAGCGAAACGTGAGTCCCCCCCGCCCCTCTCCGGGCCCGCGGCCCATCCCTGGACCGGGACCCGGGCTGGCCGGCACCCCTTCCCTACCGGGGTCCCGCCACCCGCTGCACCCTGGCCCCGGGGCTTTGCCGCTGCGGCGTCCCGTCCCCCCCCCGTCCCCGCCAGCACCGGCACCTCCCCGCGGACCCCGACACGGGGGTCAGCCCAAGCCGTGTGTCGGGGCCCGGGCTGATGCTCAGCGCCATCCGTGGGGCAGGAGGGGAACGGGGTGGGGGGCAGAGACCCACTTTGCATGGGTCTGTGGAGACAAGTGAACGGGCGGGAAAAAGCCGGGGGTGAAAGCATCTCTCAAGCTGTAATTCGGGTGGGAAACAGGCTGAAACACTGAGCAGCTGCTGTAATTAAACGGGGGGATAATTCCTTGGGGATGTCTGTGCTCAGCACACCCCAGGAGCCGGGTACAAAGGGGGTATCGGGGTGCAAGCAACAGCATTACCTTGGCTGGAGCAGAGCGGTCGGCAGCAGTGGTGGGGCTGCTCCACGCCACGGCAGTGCAAAACCTGCGTGCACAGGGCTGGGGCGCCAGACCCCTCCCCTGGCAAGCTGCTTCACTGCTCCCCGCCTCAGTTTCCCTGGCCCGGAGGAACAGGGGACCCAGCATGCCTTTGCAGCACAAACACACTGTGCATTTGCATCTTGCTCCCGCTGCTGTGCCGGGGGGGATCCCACAGCCCGCTCTCTCCTCCAGGCGAGGAATTTGTGGGATTTGCTTCCCCATTGAAGCTCAGGCGAAGCAAAGCTGTTGCAGGACCCCTCGGAGGATCTGGTTTCCTTCACCACACTGCAAAAATCTGCTTTTGCTTTCCAACACCCTCCTGCAAATTCATTCCGGGCTCTGGGGCTTTCGCTCGGTCACGTTGCGAATCCAGCCATGGCTAACGATGGAAAACGCGCCAGGCTTCGGCCCCCCTAAATCCGCCTTTGCCGGCCAAACCCCCCCTCCAGTGCCCCGCTGCAGAGGGGGGTTTCCTGCTGGCTCTGCCTTCAGCCTCACATCCTGCTCCCCCTCCGCGGCCCCCAAACCCTTGGCTCAGGGCTGCCTCCCTCCCCGGCTCCCCTCGCCCGGCCCATCGAGCGCAGTCCCAGCGTGCCGCAGGTTTTTGGGCCCCGCATTCACAAGTCACAGAGCAGCTGGGGCTGCAGCTGCTTTGGGAGCAGGGAAAAAGTCAGTAGGGGCTGAGGTTTTCCTACATGCATCCCCAGAGCCGGTTCAGAGCCTGAGCAGAGAGGGGACAGACTGTAGGTGACCCAGCTGGGGGTGCTGAGCTTCCTGGGCTGACCCCACCGTGCCCTGCTTCCCCACCTTGGGACAAAGCATTTCCTGCGCATTTGGGCATCCCTGCAGCGAGCACACCCTCTCCCACCCCTGCCCCACGCACGGGGCAAAGCTGTGGGGCGAGCCTGGCCCCAGATGCCACCTTCAGCCCACACAGCTGCTGGCCAGTATAGAAATAGAGCCAGAGCTTAAATCCTAGACACTGCTGAAAAGTGGGGCCAGCGATGGTCCCTGGTTATTTGCTTCTCTTGCCCTTAGCAGGGGGCAGGGGGGGACAGGCCCCAATGCTGCTCTCCTTCCCCACACGTGAGGACCCCAGCCCTGGCTCCTTCTCCCACGTGCCATGGCCCAGGAGCATGGCACATCCCCGTCCCCATGGGGTTACCATGGCCTCTGGGTGACTGGATTCCTCCAAGCATCACTACAGCATCTGCCACTCTCAAGGTGGGGAGAGGCCACGTCTCTGGTTGGAGATCCCCTGACCAGAGACGAAATCAAGCCACAGATCTCAGCAGGGAAAGCACCAGCCACAGTGCAACACAACCCAAGACCTGGAAGCCATAGGCAGCTCAGCTCAGCTAAACAAGATGGAGCTCAAACCTGGCAGGTAATTAAACCTCCTGCTTAATGAGACTATTGAATGTACTAATAAATAGTAGCAGCTATGAATGAAGGGTGGAAGATCTAAACTTGTGCTTAACAAGGAGCTGTGCTCAATCACACCTTGATTCAATCAGCACAGCCCCGGCTGCAACTGGGACTTGTGGCTCCAGTTGCTGGGAGCCGATCTGGGGGGAAAAGGGTGGTTGCAGCTCTGCGTGGCCTGGCACTGGGGTAAATCCCGTTCGTGGCTCCCCACTCACACTAGCCAGTTATCCCTCCTTTCTCCTCACTTGCCCCAAGCCCAGTGAAGCTCCTGAAATTGGGCTTTGAAGGTGCAGTGAGCCTCAAGCACAGAAGCCCCATCCTACCTCCCTGGCAGGTTGCTCCCCATCATCATTCCCCCCCCCCATGATGGTCCCATTGAAGCCAGGAGTCTGTGGATCCTCCTGGCAGACCCACAGTCATGGCATCATTCCAGGGCTCTGTCATCAGGATGTGCCCCTGATGGCAGAGCCGTCACAGCTGGTCCAGGGTACCCCACTGCTCCTGGCCCCATTCCCCCCACCCTAGGCCCCAGGCTGATCTCCTGGACCACCCCATAGGGATCTGGGGCTTCCAGCAGTTGAGGCCAAGTTAAAAACCCACCCTGGAAAAAAAACCCCGATGCGAATGAACTGACAAACCCCATGGGGGGGGGGGGGGGGTGAGCCATGTCAGGGCTGGCTGGGATGGGAATAGGAGTTATGTGACGGCAGAAGCAAGTGTCACCGGGAGATGCTGGGGCAGAGGGTGCTGCCAGCACACTACCTGGGGCCACGGGGGTCTCATTCTGATAATAAACCAAATCTCCCCCATTTCACCTCAAACCCACTGCTGCTCCTTTCAATTTCCTCCTGTTTGGAGCAGCCTGACACAGCCAGGATCCGGCCAGCCCATCCCAAGGCTGTGTGGCTCTCAGGGGTCCCAACAGCATTCTGGGGGTCCACCACAGGGACAAGGGACAGGCGGCAGGCAGATCCCTCCCGTCCCGCATGCCAGGCAGCACCCATGCTGGGAAACAGCCAGGCTCAGGTTTCTCCAGGCTTTTCCAGAGCAAATTCCTCCCAAGAACAAACCTGTCAGCAAATTCTTGGGGAAACGGTTGCAGCTGTTAGCAGAGGGGACGGGCAGCTCTCAGGCTGGCCCTGAGCAGTGCTGGCCAGGTAGTGAGGGATGCTCTGGTCCCTGGTTGGAGGCTGCCAGGCCCCTTCTCCCGCAGGAGCCGTGGCTCTGCAGGGCTGGATGCGGCTCAGCTCCTTCCCCGCAGGAATCCCTTTGCTTTCACTGTTTTTTTTTTCCACCAGCTCCATCCGAGAGCAGGTCATATAACCCAGGGCCAGGAACAAAACGAGTGGCGGGGCCTGCATTCCCGGGGGTGTCCCCCCCCCGCCTGCCACCT